AAGGAAGATAATTCCACACACAGCTGCAATTGCAGGTTTTCAAACAGAGATGGCGACAAAGATGCAAAACTTACGGTCTGCAGCTTTAAACTAGACTAACCATACTCATCGCCAATGTCATCAATTTGAACAAATCTACGAATCATTAACTACTAACTACCACGACCTGGCTAACAAAAAGCAAGCGTGTAAAGTTAAACTCCACTACCTTTACCGAATCTAATGCAGTCGGACTCGGAGCAGTATGAGTGCTTGGGCTGGATGAATGACTCACAGTTGCACACAAAGTTAACCGGAACTACTGAATTGACTGACTCATTTAAGTTTCAAGTTTCAAGTTTACTTTATTTATATAGCACATTAAAAAAGAGTTACAATAATCGAGACGCGATGTAATAAAAGCATGAACCGCCATCTCCAAAGTCTTGTCAGTGAGAAAGTGTTTAATTTTTGCTAGTGTACGGAGTTGATGAAAACTGGACCCAATCACAGTAGAAATTTGCTTATCGAATTTTAGCGAGTCATCTAAAAGAAGACCCAGATTCCGTACCTGTGAAGACCTAAAAGCCGATAAAGGTCCTAGGTCAAGATTTAGGCCTTTCATATTTTCTGATGGACCGAAAATGATCACCTCAGTTTTCTCTTCATTTAAAGATAACAAATTTTGAGAGAGCCCGGATTTAACCTCGTCTAAGCAAGATGAAAGAGCAGTCATCGCCAATGGGTCATTCTTCCTAAAAGGATTTAAAGACTGTTTATGATCTCATTAACTGTATAAACCACGATTTTGCTCACAAACTATGGCACATCATTCGTAATGGAGTAAACAGAGAGGTTCGCATCTGAATCAAGAACTTCTGGCAGGCAGTTATGCTGCGCTGTTTTAGCTTTGCATCAGCTTGACATGCAAAATAAAACAACTTTACACCCAAACGCGCTGATCCACACAATCGACTGCTTCAGGACACGTCTTCAGTCGCCAAATCCTCTTTCCAGAGTTGTGTCCACCCACTGTACTGTATTCAGAGGATTTGCCTATAAATGTTGCGATGCTGGAGCAGAGAACATTGAAAACGCCAGTCATTCCCTTCCAACAAAAGGCGGAGAGACTTGCGCATGCCAGTCCACCTTTACTGCGACGAGATTCTCATGCACGAAGAGAAAGCGCTTCAGCTGTGTAGTGCTCAGATTTAAGCAGGAAATACAAAACAATTCACAAAATAGTAAAAAAAGCAAAATGCCAAGGGGAAAAAAAACGTTCTTTTGGATTTACCAACAAATATTGTAATTGATAAAAAAGTAGGCCTACACCTACCATTGAAAACATGTGGCAATTGCCTCGCCCTGCTATATATCTCAAACACACTGTACCTTTGACCAAAGAGCAAATTAAAACTTTGTTCAAAGTCAACCTTCCTTAGTTGAATGTATGCAAGTATTGTAGCCTATTTACTCCTTCCATCAGAAATGACAAAATATGATGATATTGGAGTTCATATGTCATTATATTTAATCTAGTATTATCAACTACCAAAAAGTTTAGTTTATTGGAGAAGGAATTGAAGACTGCTTTGAGGCTCCCATTCAGCTTCAACAAGCCTCCACATTCCACTTTTATCAACACTGATAATAATAAGTTTCTTGAGGACCAAATCATATTAGAATGTTTTCTGAAGCATATGTGAAACTGAAAAGTTATTTTAAATAATAATATCGCACAATATTAATGTTTTTACAAATAAATGTAGCCTTAGTAAGCACAGACTTCTTTCAAAAACATTGAACATTTACCAAATCCAAAATTGTGAATGGTAGATTAAAGTACAGTAATGTACACAGCATCTTTGCAATGGCTTTCCAGGTACTTTGACACTCATCAAACTGCCATGGAGTATAATTTTAATGGAAGAATGACAAAAGCAACAGACAGCAAAAAGGGTTTCAGCACCATTGTGTTTTAAAGGCCTTCCTATGTACTGTATCAACAATTCATGGACTCGGCTGCTATTCCTATACTATAGGTGCAAATGTAAATAAAGTAACTGTTATTTCCTAACAGTCTTATATCCAGTAAAGCAAATCATTTCTATGGCATGTTTATTATATGTATATGTATATGTTATTGGAATGATTTACTTTAAAACATTAAGAATTTTATAATGGCAAAAGTACACAAATGTAATACCACCACTGTAACTCGAACAAAATGTAAGAATATTCTCTATGCACTAACCAACTGTATGTGATGTTCTTTCATAGGTTCATTTTTAAATATTTATCACATATATGCATCCAAGTTTATAATCTTCTTTCAGGTGACTGTTTGAGCTGGATGACACAACCCAATCTCTATATTACACTAAAAGGACAAGTCAAATTAATAAAATACACTGAAAAATATTATTTTATAATGCCTTTGAAATATATTTAACAGATATATAACTTTGGGAATATAAAAATAATATACAATCATTTAAGTCTCAACATCAGTTGCACCAAGGCCAGTGCATGTCTATATTGTGCACCATATTTCACAATTATGCTGTTGTGTTTAGTTAATCTCTTTACCTGCTTCTAGACCAATTATTTCCTGTCAAATGATGAGCAAGTCATAGAGCTCTCGGTGCGAGGCTCTGTGGAATATACAGCAGATCAGTTCTGACCTAACAGGTGAGTTATGTGACAGCAGTAACATCGTTCATTCCACAGTTTTAATAAGATAACGGTCCCTTTCAGGCCTCTGTAGAGCTCTTGAGCTGCACCATCTCAGCCTCTTCTTGAGGTTTGGAAGGGGTGGCGCCACGTTTGCGGTGGAAGACAGCGGCTATCTCCTCAAAAGTCTTCCCTTTTGTTTCAGGTACACGCAAGTAGGTAAAAACAGTGAAGCCGAATAGGAGTACTGCAAAAATGACGAAGACATAGCTCCCACAAAGACCCTAAGGACCAAAGCAGAGTTATTCGTATTTTGAAGACCTTATGTAATGATGGCATGTAAAGATATTGCACAATATTAAAGGTTCAGGGAACTCAATTTACCTCTAAATAAGGGAAAAACATGCCAACAATGAAATTACATGTCCAGTTGCAAAACCCAGCTAATGCGATGGCTGCTGGACGCGGCCCCTGACTGAAGATCTCCGCCACAATGAACCATGGGATTGGTCCAGGACCGATCTCAAAGAACGACACGAACAGAAATATGGCTGCCATGCTGAGGTAGCTCATCCACGAGTAAACGTCCTGAGAAGCAGAATTAAGAGTGAGACATAAAACAAACACGATAGAGCAATTCAGTTCTACTCGAGTTTTCTTCATTTCTGTTAAATTGTGGTTGTCTATTATATAAAAAAAAAATGCAGATGATACCTGAAAAGCCAGGCCCACTGTCATGGCCACAGCACAGCAGCACATTCCTCCCAACCCAACCACAATTAGAGTCCGTCTGCCCGCTCTGTCCACGAAGACCACCTGTAAAAAAAAACACATTCAAACACATGAATGAACAGGACTGTTCAAGAATGACCAGAATGATCTGCAATTGCCTGTATGCTTAAAGACTTTTTAAAGGTTTTCAAAAGTTTTTGTCATTTTTTTAATGCCATATACTGACATCTAGTGGCTTTAAACTGCTAAACATGCTTTATAGGGGGGGAGAAAAAAATACTAGGTAAATACCGGGGAAAAAAACGTCTCAATTACCCCAAATTCAATGTAAATATTTAAATATTTTGTTATTATTATTATTATTATTTATGATTTTTCTAGCAGTTTGGTGTACATTTGTATATTTATCCATATATGTTTTGTATTCCATTTTTATTAAACATTTATTCATTAACTATTTTATTTATATATTGTTAATTTATAATTATTTTATATTTTTTAAACATTTAATTTTATTATGTTATTTTATTATTTTTTTTTTTTTTTCTAGGGATTTGGTGGTCATGTTTACATCACCACCAGACTTTTGGGTTCCCCCACCTCCAAAATTCCCTCCCAATTCAGCCCTTGGTTACCAAGATAAAATTAACCGATTTGGCTGATCATGTGATCACAACATTGTGGCCTTCATGAGGTGACCCTTGTATTTTTATTAAGCTGTTTTCATCTATCTGTAGTCTTCATCTAATGTGAGTTCACATTTAAACCATATTTTTCAAAATTACTTAATTTTAATTATTCTTTAGAGCTAAAACTTTCTTGAGTGAAAATCAGAAAATGACTTTGTCTACTCCGTTGCGCTTTTATGCACCAGATTAATCAAAACCTGTTCTGAATGGATTGTTTGATTTAGAGTAGCTCTTGACTCTTTACTCAAAACTGTTTTCACTTGCAGGCTGCCCTTGAACTAGCAGAGATAAACACTGCAAAGTCCCCGATAACATATGGCTGCTCTCCAGCTCTATGAGCCAAGAGAAGACAAGCTTTAGCCACCTCTCCAGATCCAGCAGTTATTATAACTTAATCCGTTCACAAGATTCAAGGTGAGATGTCTCACTGGGTCATGGTATATTAAATATGAGCATGATTGATAATGTCAGCACAGATTTGTATAAATCTAACCTAAATAAATGACACATTTTGATCACAGTGCTAATGAGAGCTGCTCTGCCTTCAGTTGCAATCTGTTGTCTAAAGAAACATGCTCTCAACTAAGTTGGAAAATCTGCAATATCAGTCTTGAGTTATTATCAAAAAGCATTAAGAGAAAGTAAGACCCGAGAGGCAACAGCACTCTGCTGTTTCTAAGAGACAAGAGCCTGTTCCTCAGCAGCCAGTGTTTGTCTTTAAATTAGTGTCTGTTTACCGACACAAGGGTGAAAATGATGTTTATAACTCCCACTCCAATAGTGGCATACACAGGCTGACCAACCCCCGCAGTCTGGAAGATCGAAGTAGAGTAATAAAAGATCTAGAAAAAACAACAAAGAGAAGATCAAATATTACAGTTGTCTAATAGTAATGTGGTCCATAAAATGTCAATTGAAATGTTTTTTTCAATGAAATGGGAGTATAAAGGTAGATTGAGCGTACAGCGTTGATCCCAGAGAACTGCTGGGATAAATGCATCATCAGGGCCACAAAGAGCTGCTGGCGGTACACCGAGGAACGGAGCAGCCGCAGGATGGACATTTGCGCCTCATTCATGGCCTCCTCTTTCTCTGCCTGCATCTCTGCTATGTCCTTTGAGGTGTCGTAATCTCCCTTCAGCCTTTTCAGACCTACCAGAGGGAAGAACTGAGAATCATTATTTTGTCTGATCTTCAGACAAGAATTTCAGAATGTTTTAATTTTATTTATGATTTTTTTTTTTTTAAGTTTTAAAAATCGCTCTAGTCTACGAGAATAGCCAATTCCCAACCACAACTATAACAATAATGACATAGAGGAACAATATACTTGGAATCACCTTCATAATATATATATATGGGTGAATGATAAAAAAAATTGACAGCCGATCCAAATACATTCGACTTTAAAGTCGGATGGATAAATATCTGCTTAGAATAAACATTACATAATCGTCCGTTGGTGTGGACGCTAATATCTTTTTAGTGTTCGTTCTTAGTTACAAAGAACGAACACTAAAAAGATATTATGTTACAACAATAAGGTCATAATGTTACAAAAAATTAATTTGTAATGTTACAAAAATAATCAATGTTACAAGAATAAAATGGTAAGTTACAAAAATATGGTTGTAATGTTAAAAAAAGAAAGTCATAAGGTAACGAGAATAAAGTCACATTGTTTTTGAAATATAGTCAATGTTGTGAGAATAAAGTCGTAGTGTTACTAGAGTTTCTTTCAATTTAAGAGATTAAAAACATAATATGGCCTTTAAAAAAAGGTTAAAAAAGGGGTTTTGTGGGTAAAAAATTTTTTATCAGCTTCATCAATGCAGAAAATGGATGTGGAGGATTTAGATTGACTAGCATGTGTCAGTATTTACTAAAAAAATAAATTATTTTGGCAAATCAGCACACAGTTGTCATTAGAATCCGGCAGTGAAATGTAGGAAATTGAATTTATTAAGGAGAAGGAACCAGATGGACATTCAGGAAATTGCCTGTTTTGTGCATTTGTAATTGCAGCCAGTGGTCAGCTCCACTTCACTTTGATGCTACTTTCCTTATTCTCATAATACTGACTTGAATCTCAAAAAATGTTATTCTTGTAGTTTTGACTATTCTTAAAATGATAGTACTTTAGTGTCATAATGTTGTGACTTTTTATTTCTCTACACTTTAAGACTTTATTCTCATAAAAAGCCTATTATGAGATTATGAGTATATGTTTAAACATACATTGTCCAAGAGTAAAGACTAAGAAAGGCTTTGGCACATACTCTTGCATGCTTCTTCCACTTTGCCTAGTTTGATGTAGAGATATCGAGGACTCTCTGGACACACAAGCAGCAGCAGACTCTGCAGGATAGCAGGAGCTCCAGAAAGACCCAGCAACACGTGCCACATGTCATCATTTCCCAGCAAGAAATCCAGACCAATGACCTGTAGATAACAAGGACACCTGCACACATCTTACAGATGTCTAATAAGAACCAAAAAAGAGTTACTACCCTAGACCTCATGAGTATCTTACATCACTTTTTTATCACAGTTGTTTCAGCTGATTGTAATACAGATTTTCCATGGAAGATCATGTATGGTCATGCTCTTTTATTTAATAATATCAACTATTCAGTTAATATTCAGTTCTCACTATGAACAGTTTAACCCTTATTGTGGATTAGATGTATTATAAAAGTGGCACTCACTTGACTTATAAGGATGCCAATTACAATAGCCAGCTGGTGAAGTGCTCCCATAGCACCTCTGTACTTCACTGGAGAAATCTCTCCAATGTACAGAGGCACCAGGCCAGATGACAGACCTATAACACGTGTGTCATATATGAACAAGTGTGCAGTCAAAACATATTGCATATACAAACATAAAACATGTAACAGTGCAATATAATAAAACTAATTTAAGTAAAAAACTTTTAAAAACTGTAGCAGATGAAAAGCGATTGTCTTTATAAGTGAACCATGAATCATTCACTCAACCGATTCGTTTAAATAATGATTCATTTAGGAATGAAGCAAATGGCTGCCTCTATGTGTGAGTCATTGAATAATTCACTCAACTGATTTGATCAGGAAACACCGCTACTTGGTGCTGCTCGGAGATGCAACGGTTTCTGGTGTACTTTGTTTGAAATTACTTCCGTTGTAGTCATGAGAGGATTGGATCTTTTACTTACTTGATCTTTGAATCTCATTCAGCAAAATGAACTAATATTATTCAAGTCAATTTCAATTTCGCTCATTTAGTTAATTTGAGCTTAAATTAGTTCAATTAAAATTATATATATATATTTTCAATAGCCAAATTCCCTGAACACATCCACATGTGCAATTGTTGATCATATTGTGAATTGGAAAAAAGTTATGCAGCTTCTTCTATTCTTTCATTACATGACACAAAATGAATGAATCGCTCATGAACATCACTATTTGGAGCAAAAATAGACAAAATAACTGGGACTGTTGAATCTAAAATGTGAGTTGTTTATTTATTTGATTATTGAGAACTGCTGTATAAAAGCAATATCCCACTTTCTGAGATTCGAAACAGCTTGCTGTACAGTTCTTGCTGGTGTGATGTTGCTTTTGAATTTTTACATTACTAGAGCAAGGTTATTATTATTGTTATTTAAAAAGTTTCCTTTATATCTTATGTACTCATGTTGTTTTTTCTTACTATTTATTATTTTTTATTTCTTATATGGTCTTATGCATGATTATTTTATGATAATTTTTAATCATTTTAATCAATTATTAAAATTGATTAAATTGCCTTGCTTTTCTCTTAAAGGAGACATATTATGCCCCTTTTTACAATATGTAATATAAGTGCTAAAAACATCTGTTTTGGTTCTGATTATCATGTTTATCGCGCTGAAATCATGCGTTTTAAACCATATGAGTTTAAACTTCTGATATACGGTTTTCCAAGAGCACACATCTGAAGCACACGGACAGAAAGCGGCTGTCACAGCATGTGAGTACTAAACTAAGTTCTCATTCACACACAATCGCATGTTTATTTTAGATCTGTGTGGCAGCAGCAATATACTGTACATTAAATAAATCAATAAATCCACTGCTCTCTTGTCTCCTCTGAGGCTGGGACTGAAAATAGTGTTCTGTGCTCATCTGTGCACCCAATGACAGAACAGTTAGCATGTTTTGCTCAAACTTTCGCCATGGCATTAGAACTAGTACACCATTGTCGCTTGTGAAAACACAATAACGGCGCCGTGGGTGTAAACTTACAGATTAAGGGGCGGTAATATTATAATGAGATCCCTTTGCCACGTCACCATGGGAGTGAAACCAGACGCGCTTGTTTTCTCAGACGCTTGCAGAAAAAGGCTTCCCAAAACAAAGTTACTGGATTAATCTTTTTCACGTTTCCTTGGTTGGTAGATGCACCGGGGACCTGATTATAGCACTTAAAACCTGGAAAAGTCAGATTTTCATGATATGTCACCTTTAAGATTCCATGAAAATAGAGGCAAGGTTGTGTCTCTTACCACAGTACAGTCCCATGATAGCACGTCCTGCTATCACCATGAGGTAAGGTGTGCCCATCTTAGCCAGGCCCATTAGCAGCCCAGCTGTTATGGCCAGGACATTTATAAACAGCATACCTTTGATCCTGTAAATCAATAGTATACAGACAAGACCACAGATATGAGTCACATTCCACTGAATCTGAACACATAAAACGTTATACTTTCAAGATAAGGGAAGATGAAACTATTTCTTGCAATTAACGTTAATTATTCACAAGTTCACAAATACTCTACCTTCCACGGATGTCGCTAACAAAGCTCACTAGAAAGGAGGACACCATGCCTCCGATGGAGAAGATGGCCACAGACAAGGACCAGTACATGACCACAGACGCATCAGTCGGTTCTTCATGTTCTGTTGTGTTTCCTCCTTCCCTACGAGCTAGTTCTTCATTATAGACACCCAGCGATCTTGCATAGTGCCTTTCAATGACCTACAACACAAATGACATAATGCCATGACAAATCCCTTCCCAATAATAGTAGTGAACAATAGTCCTTTCTCTTAAAGATATAATCTCAAATAGATAAATCCCTATCATGCTGGCTCTGAATGCAGGAGTGTGAAGGTTGTAATGATGGTGTGATGACTAACTTTCTGTGGGGCGTTGATGACGCCCAGGCTGTATCCCATCTGCAGAGAGCCAAGCGCAGCTGTGAACACTGCCAGAGCGAGTGTGCCTGTTAACTGCTGTGAGACAGGAAAACACAACAGGTCCTAATTTTGACCTTGCACAAATTAAGGCCTAAAATGTTCTTAAATCTGATCAGAAAGTTTTTCATTCATAAAATCATGGCATTAAATTTTGCAAGCACCAATTCAAATATCTAAGCATCCTTAAATCAAGATACATTTACTTCAGATGCAAATTGAACGTATGAAGTCTTGTTTTTGAAACTGAACAAAATTAAGTGAGTTTATGCTTAAAACAAGAACAAACATCTGTCAATGGGGTATAAAAACCTGTTTTCTGAGCCCATTGGCAGATAACTGTTCTTGTTTGAAGAATAAACTCACTTAATTTTTATCAATGTCTCATAAAACAAGACTTTTGTCATTTTACTTCTCAAGTAAATGTACCTTGATTTAAGAATATTTAGACATTTTCAGTGAAAGAAAAACATTTTTTATTTTTAAACTTTGAACCATACTGACATATTTTGTTCCATTCAGTTTATTCCTCAAATTTTCTTTACTTGGTCCTAAAAAGGTATTAAAAATCTTAAATGTACCTTCTTAAATCCTGCAGAAACGGTTACCATAAAAGTTAATTTACAGTATCAGTATCATTTACTCCTGATCAATTCAGAATGTGCCAATAGAAATTAGCAATACAAACAAAACATTTTATTACAACGCTCAATTACATGTGTTCCTCTTATTTAATTTATAATTAAGGCCAGAGCCTTTTTATAAAAAGGTCTTGCACTGAAAGACAAATGTTTGTGAACTAAAAAAATAAGGTATACATTTTAATTCAATTGTGCTCTTTAAATGAAAAATAATACATATATATTTTTTGTTAAAGGAATAAAACATGTATTCTTTGTTTGAACAAACATTTGATTTAAGAACAATGAACACGATTAGATGTAGATGGATTAACACTCTTTACTAGTATAATTGAGATGATGTAACTAAAAAAAATGATTATAACATCTGAAATATAATTAAATGTATTTTTTCAAGTACATGATTAATACCCGAGTAAACAGAACTAAAGCTCTCGATGGTCTGAAAATCTCTAGTAATACTAATTTAGGAGTGTACATAACACATACTACGTTACAATTATCTACTATAGTAACAACAATAACAATGGGCAATTACAACATACATATATGCATAGTTTATTAACATTACTAACTACTTACGTAAATATGCAGTTATGTAAATAAACAGTCATACAAACAGAATGTCATTTTAGACAGCTGCACTTCTTAAACCTATTAAAATAGTTTTTCATACACATAATAAAAGTATCTGTATTCTGGTCATTTTGGTTATTCATTTGACAGCTTACAATTAAAAGGCGGTTTATTTTGTCAAATCAAAGTAACATTAATGATAAACCCAGAAAGCTCATAATCAAAGCATGAATAACACCTGCATTCACTATTCCGCATGTTATGACTATCATCTTTGCGGTCTCATTCATACAAGAGTAAATTCACAAAAAACGTTTTTAACTTTCCACAAAAAAATGACATTTAAATTCAACATGCAAAGTTAAAAGACACCGTCATATCAATAAGACACTATTTCACACCATTCAGCATTGCCAACCTGTTACTTATCATTCAGATGGAAATCAAAAGGCATTTTCATTATCCGTATGAATTCATAAAAAAAGGATTAAATCAACTTACCTTCTCCATTTTGCATGAAGTGTCAGCAAAAGCCGTTCTTGGTCATTAATAGTGGCTCCAAGGTTCTCGGCTGCTTTCTCAATACTCAGTAAATGATCAATCCTGTTACTGCAGGATCATGCTGCACGTGTGCTGAGCTGGAGACCTTCTGTCCTGATCCACTAATGATGTCCATGTATCATTGCTGTTTATGTGCTGCTTCAGGACAATCATCTTCCCACTGAATACCAGACTATTGTTTCACTTTTTTTGCATGGTCGAAATGATTGACATGACTTTTTATATAATTAATAGGTATATTAATACATGTTTATGATGCAAACATTGAAGAATACCAGGTGTCAGCATTGCTAGATTGGTGCTTTTTTTGATTAGCATAAAGCGGCTGGATAAGACGTTACATGTTTGAGCAAGAAGAGTTAATGTATTACACCTATCAGAGCAAAGTTCTCAGCGCTCAGATACTGGTGCTTTCATGAGCTCTGGAAAACAACCAAAGATTCAACAGAGTGAGGGACACTAACACGAGCCAAAAAAGGTACTTATTTATTTTTTTCTTATCATAAAATAAAAAAACAAACCAAAAGAGGACACAGTGCTTCTATCACCGTAAAAGAAATTAAAATCTTGTTTTCAGCTTCGACGATCATTAAAAACATATTAAGACAGAAACATTAAGTAACCATTCTTGAGTGTCAAATAAAGTAGTTAATTAAAAGAGCTCAGTGAGGTTCTTTCCCAGCACTGGCCGAACACAGTGTTTCACACAGCATACATACATACATCAGCAGGACATTATTGCTAAAAACCTCTCATTCCCTCACCATTAAAATATCTTCTTTTGCCATGTAAGAGATGTGAAAGAAATATAAATATCTATATAGTCTGCAAACATCAAGTGACTTTGAGAACATCTAAAGCGTCGAACTGAAGACCCAGGCAAACATACAAAACAAAACAAAAAAAACAATACATTATGGTTAATATCTGTTGAGCTACTGTAGTAGTTCTGTACCAACGTTTGTACCAAGTAGTTAAGATCAACATTTGTGATATTGTAGTCCAAGTGACTTTGAGTACCACATAATTATCAAATGAAGAACCTTTTCCCTTTTCGGAATGTTTTGAGCCCCAGGTTTATTTAACCCATTAAACACTGTTGCAAAATAAAAGTGTAAGAAGCTACAGCTTAATTTAACAATGCTGAGTCTTTTGAAATGTTGAGAAGAGAGACTTGTGGCCTACAAATGATGGCCGAAACATAAGAGTTATATGGCGTAAAAATATTATGCAAAAATAGAAAATCAATGTGTCTCTAAAGATTGATTTCACACAGGTTAATTTGTGCTAGGCACTATAATGAAATCTAAATAAAGTCATCATCAATTCTCAATTGTCACTGAAATACAGGTGCTTTTATCTTCTATCTATTTTTTTTTTTTAATCTCAGATATCATGTTGCTCTGACATACACATCGCACAACATCTGATCCAGTGTCTACACAAACATGCAACCAGTGAGGAGGTCTGTTTTCTTCCGTGTATGGCTAGATTTCACTGTTAACTTTCGTGCTTCCGTTTCTCCATGTTTCAAACATTCCAAAAAAAGACCAGAGAAGTTAGAGTAAGAATTCAAAACATGGTATTTAACTTAATGCATTCATGATCCGTTCAGCTCCTTATTTCCAACCTCAAAGCTATAAAACAAACTCAACTATATTTTGCGATACAGTACTTTGGATCAATGTACAGTATATGGACTTTGTTGACAATATACAAATGAGCACCAGTGTTATTCATTTCTTTTAAGCATGTCATTCTCTTTTGAGAAATCGGACAAAAACGGGCATCACAGATATTTGTGAAACTGACAGAAGTGTTTTTAAGTGAAACATCAAGAGACTAAAGCTTGGTCTTAGCCTGAGTGCTTGCTAATGTTATCCCCACATTTGTTATCTTTTAAATATTGTCCAATTCTTTACAATCATGCAACTGATTAAAATTCAATGGAAAAAAGTAAATCAAAACCAATGGGAAACCAGGGATAGGAACGTAAAGGGGAGGACCCTAAAAGAACAGGCTTTACCAGAGGCCACAAATAAGGTCTAAAACCAAGTTCAAGTTAATCAGCCCCCTCTTCTGGGAACTGCGTGCCACTGCAGGTGACGTCAGATACTGCACCTCCATGAGCCGTGTGCAGAGATCCAGTGCTCTTCCTACGGGACAGACCCATGTCTCTAAGCTCACTCATCAAGAGTCTCTAATATTTTAAAATCTTTTTCAGACCAAACTGTCAATGTACTGTGCGCTCACAGATGCAATGCTGGCAGGAAAAAGGCTCCACAGTGTTGGGTCTGTAGGAGCTTCACCAGTTCATCAAAGAGTTCCTGTTCAGCGTCATGAAGAACACTTGACTGCTACTGCCTGATCGGACCGAGGCGAAGAACACCTGCAGGAAAAAAAAAAGAAGAGAAAAAATTAAGCTAGTCCAAAATGGTCCAAGCTGTTTTAGATGAACAGTAACATTGGTGATGATCTACAACTAGGCATGGGCCGGTATGAGATTTTGACGGTATGATAACCTTAAGCAAAAATATCATGGTTTCACGGTATCACGGTATTGTCGTTACAGCTCTAAAATGTGTTATTTTTAAATGACTGGGTAAAAAAAAACAAAAATCTTTTTTTCTGCTGAACACAATATATTTTGTTTTTGAGCAACATACAGAATATTAGGAACAGTAGAATTTGTTTATTTA